GAGAAACAAACTGAGGGTTCTAGAGGGGAGGGGGTGGGGGGATGGGTTAGCCTGGTGATGGGTATTAAAGAGGGCATGTATTGCATGGAGCACTGGGTGTTATATCCAAACAATGAATCATGGAACACTACATCAAAAACTAATGATGTAATGTATGGTGATTAACATAATAATAAAAAAAGAAAAAAATAGCTAACAGGCACTGAAATTTTTGAGGTGGATGAGGGTTAGCTATTTTCCTACAATCTCTGTGCCAAATCAGAAAAGGAAAAAAAAATCAAGCCCAGATCAAACTGTCCCACATACAGATTTTAATAAACATTTATCAGCAAGCATGCAAACAGTTTATGCAACCTGTTCCTTTAGGTCAGGGAAGCCCCACTTCTCTGTTTTCGTAGCTCACCCACCAGTTCCCACAAAAGGCCTACGTAAGGCAAACTTGACAATATTCCAGAGGCGAGACTGTCCTAATCCAGTCAGCAACAAGCAACCAGAAATCCTTGGACAAAATGGCAGGAAGCGAGACCCTAAAGGGGTCAAGCCTCAAGCACCAAGCCTAAATGTACAGGCTACAAGCCTCACTAGACTCTCGTGTGTTTTCCATGCAAGCATGGGGAACTACTCTGAAGGAATTTAATCGTTTCACACAGCCTGAATACCTCTCGTTTTGCCAAGGAGAGCCACTACTATCATCTATTAGATTGATCAAAAAGCTATTAATTTCAAAAGTAAAACCTACTTTAAACATTTACTCTACTCATTATGGAAATCTCTGGTGGGGACTGTGATACAGATAGCACAAGCCCGTGGAACAGCGGCCTATGGCATTTCTGATGGGGCACTGTCACTCCTGGAGCGGGAGACCCACGTGACAGCTGCCATCTGCACGGGCTGTGCGCGTAACCCGACCTGGGGTGCAAATACTACCTACGCCAGAATTAGGAGAGAAAAACCAGACCATCTCCCCAATTCCTCAGGACCCAGGAGATTTTGTTTCGGGTGGGGACAAGGGGAAGTCAGTGTGAAGACAGGGAAAGAAGAAGGGAGTACACTGCTCCAAAAAATTCCCCAGCCTGAAACTGTTAAGAATGCTACATGCTGCCCTTTCAGCAACTGTAACGAATTCTTACCAGCACTACTTGATACACCATAGAAACTTGGTGGCTCCTTATAAAAGTGATTGTGTTACAAGATTTATTTTTATTAGAAAGGCAGAATTTTAAAAATCATTTTATTTTGATTTTGAATTATTTCATCAATTCCAGGTGGAAACACACCATCGTCAAACAGGGAAAAACATTAAAAATGGAGAAAAAGATTAACTACCCATTCCTGTAGTAAGCAAAATTTAATAAGAAAATGAGATAAACTTCAAAAAGGCAAAAAACTAAAGGTCTGAAAAATAAGATTCTATTTTTCTGTGTGTGACACTCGAATTTGTAGTCACCAGTGCGTCCTGGTTGGCCTGAGAGAACACTCCCCCTAGCGGACTGTCATAGGAATTTGAACAAAGTTAAACTAGTAAATTCCTAGGTCCAAGAGAACACACTAAATAGGAAATTCTGTGTTAAATCAGTAGCTTCCTGTTAGGGTGATGGAAAAAGAATTACATTCATTAGCTTATGAATTCTAAATAGCTAAAGATATGTGCAACTAAAATGGTCTTAAATGTGCAAAAAGTCCATTTTTCCCTATTAAACCAATATATATATATATATATATATATTCTAAATCCTTCACAGGTCTAACTTTCAAAAAATACATTAGACCAAAATCAATTCAGAGCTAAATAATTGAAATTATAGTGACTAATAAGATGCTAAAAGATAATCTGAAATGGAGGTTCTTTCATCTAACAAGTATTTATTGAATGTGTTACATAGTAGGCATTGTTCTAGGTACAGGACATACCAATGAACAAAACCCAAAAATAACTGCCCTATTTTAAAGGAAAATTATAGTCCTTGAAATTGACTGATTAAATATTTTCATAATTATGTTTTATATGTTGTTTTTGATGTTTATCTAAAAAAAAGTTTACACAACATTTAGTAGATTCATTCATTTCCTTCTTGAACATATACTATACTTTACAAAACTCTAACTCTTTTTGTGCCAGCCGGCATCCTGAGATGACTTGGGGGTCTCAACAGTTATCAGGGAGTCACTCTGAGCTAGATACCCAGAATTGTCCATGTCCCGGGGAGCAGAGCCCACAGCTGCTCTGGGGGAGTGTTTCCCTGAAGTGCTTTGCTGAACTACTCTCCAAACCAATCTCCTCTCATGCCATGTGGCCTATTTTAAGGTAAGGCATTCCAAATATACCCCTTTGATGAATGTTTTTGATGAATACTATTCAATGGTTTTTATTTTTATTTATTTTTTAAAGATTTTATTTATTTATTTGAGACAGAGAGAATGAGAGAGAGAGAGAGAGCACATGAGAGGGGGGAGGGTCAGAGGGAGAAGCAGACTCCCTGCCGAGCAGGGAGCCTGATGCGGGACTCGATCCAGAGACTCCAGGATCATGACCTGAGCCGAAGGCAGTTGCTTAACCAACTGAGCCACCCAGGCGCCCTATTCAATGGTTTTTAGCCATCAGTAGCGGGGGGTGTGGGTCACAGGTCACAAGCATTGGCGTCAGTGGGTAGGAGCCAAGGAGGCTAAATGAATCCTGCAATGGGATGAGTTTTTTTCCCCATGAAGAACTGTCCCACCCACAAAGGCCAATGGCGACTGCCCAACTCTGAGCTGTATCACATGGTACAGGACCTTTATTTTAGTTACATATTTTTTTCTACTAGAAAACAAGCCAGATAATTTTAGTATTTCATTTTATTAAATATCCACATGCCATAAAAATTGATGGAAAACTACCCAAGAAAGTGCAAAATCACTTAATAACTGGTTTTCTACATCTTGGTTTGGATGAGAAACTCTTATAGGCAAACAGAAGGTATCTAATAAGTACTTACTACAGTACTTAACTGCACTGAACAGTTGCAGAGAACAAGAAGAAATCCTGTAACTCAGCTCTGAAGACTCTTTTATATACCTTGTTCATAGATTTCTTTAAAATGTATACTTTAAAAATAAATCATATACATCAAAAACTAATGATGTAATGTATGGTGGTTAACATAACAATAAAAAAATTATTAAAAAAAATAAATCATATAATTACTCAGACTTGTTTGGCAAAGCCTAAACTTCAGAACATTTGGGAAGAAATCACATGTAAAAGCAATCACTTCAGTGCAATTAAATGCTATTAAAACAAAAACAAAGTATCCTTCAAAACAGTGGTTCTCCAACATTAGCATGCATCAGAATTTCCTGGGGGAAAGTCTTCTTAAGCTACAGATTACTGGCCCACCTCCAGAGTTTCTGACAAGTTTCCAGGTAATGGTGATGCTGTTGGTCTAGATGTCACACTTTGAGAACCACTGTTAAGATAAATTCTTCGGAATTCAAACTAATAAGTAATGCCCATATGCAGCTGCTCTTTCTAATAGTAAATAAAAGAACATTTCAGGTATGAATTCATCAAACTTTAAATTTTTAGACCCTTGAAATGTCTGACTTAAATAGATTATTCATCTTGGCTCATAACGATGAGTTCAAAAAACAGAACTGAAGGATAGTCCAGTAGTGGGTAATCCATGACTATATGTAAACATTTACTTACAAAATATACAGCAACTATTAGGGTACATGGACCTTGTTCGCGTCTCCTCCATGCTTCTTCCCTTTAGAAAACCCAGTCTCCTGGAAATACTATACCCAGAATGAGGATGTGACCTATCATGAATGTTCAGGTAGAAATCACAGGGAAGGCCCTACTTAAGACTCTGATTCAGGAACTTCCTCATCAGGGCAGCAGTAATATTCCACAAAACATATCTGTCCATCTTCATTTCTAATCATATACTGTAATGAGAGGAATCCTCGGTTATCTGTTCGAATAGATACCTTACAAGACAGGACTAAGGCCTTTGTAGAGGGTTTCAGTAAGGAAATCTTGTATCTGTAGAGAAGTAAATAAGAAGCAGTTGTTATTTGGACACACTTGAAGCAGTGCTCATAACTCCAAGTAAAGGACAAAAATTAGTCAAAAACTACCAAGTAACAAATATAAGGATAAAATCAAATACTTGTCCAATATGCTAATATTTTTCGTTTATAAAATTTCATCCACTATCACAACCCCAAATCCCCAAGTACACCCAGCACCCCACTATTTATATCTTTAGGATGTTACACCTTTAGCAACAGATCGAAAGTTTTACATTTATTTAATAGATATGTGATATTCGACCTCACCTTCATCACCAATATTTTAAGAACTGACCTGTTCACCTGGGTCTGGTTACAATGAAATGATTCCATCAAATCAGAATCTTTGGGATAATCAAGGTGGGAGCTTCCCGCATTCCCAAAAGTAGATAACCTACAGTAAAAAAATGAGCAATTCATTTATTCACTGGTCCAACAATAAGCCACATTAGGATCTCAGTAAAGAAGACACTTCCTTAAGAAGCTCATTTTGGTGAATGAAACACATATATAAACAAATGCTGACAATACACTATACCAATTACAGTAACAAAGATTCCCGCAGGATGCTGTGGGAGTTCAGAAGATCTAGCAACTAATAAACTAATAAAAAATCCATCATGAATCCATCAAAATCCAGTGGTGTTTGCCTCAATTTCATTACCTTAATTCTACTCTGATACTCACCTTTCCTCATCCTTAAATCAGAAATCATATAAAAGGAGAGTTTGAGGAATGGTGGAAGACCCTGATCAAACTCATCAGCAATCCCGGGGTCCTGAGCCCCATCCTCGCCGCCACACCCCGGAATTCTGGCTATTCTGTATCTTAGACTGCTCTTTAGGCGGTTTCACGGTTTTCCTTGCTTGGCAGTGTCAGCAGTTTGTGTGTTCAGCAATTTGTAAATGTTTGTATGTTTGTTTTATCTGCAAGAATTTATGGATCATTTGCTATGGGGTTACCACATTGGTAAGTACTGTGAGAGCAGAGTGACAGAAGCCCTAGGTGCTGGTCTTCCTCAGGTTCCACCTTTTCTCTCCTCTAATGTAAGCTCTTTCTCTGTGAGCCATCTCGTCCATACCCAGCCATTATGACGACTCCAAAATCTAAATTTCCATTCTAGACTGATGTCCTGAACTCCGTATGTCCAACTACTCCCTAGCGTCAGAGGCACCTCAAATTTAACACATCTGGAAAAAAATTTCAACTCCTAGTTCCCCACCACCAAATCATTTCCCATACCGGAGATGAAAGATACCATAATCTATCTAGTTACCTATGCTGAGAGACATCACTTAGGTGGGGATCTTCTGAAATACACTGTTTAAGTGCCCAGATTTTAATTCTTATCAATACTTAGGTAGAATTTCCATTTTGGCTAATATTTTAACTAATCTTGAGCCAAATTTTTAACTGCTCCATGTCATGATAAGGGCCTGCAGTTCTTCTAGTAGATGTAAAAAGAACAACATACCTCTCATTCCTTATGTATTTTTAGCTCCTTTACTTAATATTCTGATGTAATTAAAAAGAGAAGAACTATTTAAATCCTCTCTCCAAATTGACTCTAATCCTGAAAATTTTATAATTTGTTGGTTCAAAACGTCAGGAGCAGCTTGAGAGTTTTTGACATTGTATTCCTGCTGAAAATTGCCCTCCCTTAGGAAGCTTGCCTTGATCAACCCCCTAAGTACTCAGGTGCTGTTCTCTAAGCGTCTCTGAATTATTTTGGTACTTAGTGGCATGCAATTCTGTTCCTTTGAGGCTGTTTCACATATTTTTCTCTTCACCTTGACTTTAACCCATTCCTTTCCAAAGTGCTTAAAAAGGTAGATATGCACACAGTAGGTGACTAATAGATACTTAGTGAATGAACGATGTATAGAAAACATCTGTTTCCTTTTGCATCCTATACTAACTTGCAAGGAAAGAAGAGATACCATACGATATAAACACCTTTGCCAAAAGTTTAAGCCCAAATTTTCCTTGTGACGTAACTTGAGCTATACCAGTAAGTAGTACAATGAAAAGACCACTAGTTTATAAAGTAAACAGGGCTATTCACCTACAAACCAACATTACCTAACTATGAAGCTTTAAATACTGAGTTCATCTTCCTGGACCATACGTTTCCCAATCTATGAAAGTATGAAATAAGAGTAAAAGCTCTCTAAAGATCTGAAAATTCTAGGAACCTGGATAATAAAAGTTCTGCATCCTAAGCAAATGTGTAAGCAGGGAGATAGAGTAGATTACAGTATTAATTATAATTGCCCTGAGTTCAAGTACCTGAAATAAGGCTTGTCGGGAGACATGGTGATCTGTAGCACCTCACTCGTCATATCCAATTCGGAAAATGCTTCACGGAGCCCCTCTGACTGCAGAATAATTTTATTGATAACGTTGGTGCTGCAGAAATCAAAATCCAGAGTCTCCTCGGGCTCCTGAGTATTGATTTTACAGACTGTCACCACTCCTCCTTCTTCCAGAAATAGCATCAAAGGGTAACCATAACCTTGGTAACACATCCGAAGTGCAGTTAAAGTCCCTGCAATGGAAATAAATCACATGTTGGGCTTAGCTTTATAATGCAGGTTCTGCCTCTCCTTAAATGATACTTAAATTCCTGAAGATTGTTTTATTCTGCCCAATTTCTAACACATATGTATGCATCTCTTTATAAAAAGGGATATTTTCTGATGACAGTTACACGTAGACAATTCAAACAGTAACTAATAAAACTGGCAATAAGAACAAAATGTAACTCTTTGAAATCATTTTCCCGCCTGCCAAAAACACCTCAGAAATAGCTGATTTTATATATCTACAATTTTCAGGATGGAGAATCTACGTGGACTAATGCTGCAAGTAACAGAATTACTGCAGAATGAGCTATGCCCTTTCTCAAAGGTGCAGTGTGTGCAACAGTGGACTGCTTTGATACTGTCTGTATGATAATGTCAGTGTATTCGCTGTGATAAGGATCCTTCCAACCTTTCCCATTGGGAGATATTATTTACATTTCCTCAAACTTTAAGATCAAATTGGGAGAAAAGAGAGGGCGGTTAATAGTGGTGTGGGTTTTAACACTACAAACCACTAGAGAGGAGGAGGAATATGACTAGACATTCTATCTGCTTTCTCTTATTGGATGGAGAGCCACAGTGAGGAAGGGGGGAAGGCAGATGCTTTTATGAAAAACCAGCTAGGGAATGCTGCATTAGAAAAATGTATAATAATGGAATTGTCAATACAAAATTATATTTTCTAAAGAACCACAACTGAACTTTCCCTAGCTAATCTCTAGATTCCTGTGAAATAAAATCATTCTTCAGGGGATTCCTTGTAGTTTTATATCCATAGCAACTGAATTCACTATTCCTAAAAAAATAAAACATGTATTTTAAAATTAAACATTTCAGGAAATAGACAATTTATAAACAGGACTTAAAGAAATAAAAGCAAGCACATTTTGAACACAGTAAACTAGGTGTGAGGAGAACTGGTTTCTGTTTTTCTTGGCCACTAAACTGTAATTCTGAATAGGTTAGGGAAAGGAAGCATTTAATACATATTTTGCAGTGTTGAAGTTAACACATATTCAAAGTCTTCTCTTGGCCAGTTCAAATTTAAAATCCCCAAAACTCTGTAAATTAAAAAATGATTAATATAAATACTTTAGCAAACACGGAAAGAACCACAGTACACTTTCTATTAATGTGAAAAGTTAGAATTCATGATTGTGACCAGTGAAAAATGAATTTGCAATTTCCAAGATACGTTTCTTACTTCTAATAACTTTTCCTGTATTTTTCTGACCATCTGTATAATGCTTTTGTGTCAATAATAATAAAATGGCTCACCTGGCATAGGACTTGATCCAAAAATAGATAAACAGTCTAAAAAGATAGTTAAATTTATTCGAAAAGTAACAGACTCTTCCTGAACTATAAACTCTTGAAATATTCCAGCCTGTGAAAAAAAGTAAACATGAAAATGTATATATATATTAATGAAAACTCACATACAAGGTTCTAGATTTCACTTTATATGTTTTAAAAATAACAACATTGTGCTAACCCCATGAAAATAATTTCTGATTACCAATCAAAACATCTTAAGCTTTTTCAACTATTACCATTAGAATACTACTACTCAGTAGTTAAAGGTCTAACTGATTTCAGTACCATGCAAAACTTTATGAAAGGTCTTTCATCTAGCTTCTTGATCTAAACTATCGCCCACATGACTTTCCCTTGTCTCATTTTTCCCCATCGGCAGGGCTAAGTCATTTGGAAAATAGCCAAACAATTTGATAATGCATGAGTGATACTAGTTTTCAATTTCTTTTGAGGACAGGAACCATGTCTTATCTATCCCTCTATACCTGAGGTCACACTGTGCACTTTGGTGTTCAAAAAAATGTTGGATTAGGGGTGCCTGGGTGGCTGTCGGATAAGCGTCTGCCTTCGGCTCAGGTCATGATCCCAGGGTCCTGGGATTGAGCCCCCCATGGCATCGGGCTCCCTGCTCAGCGGGGAGCCTGCTCCTCCCTCTGCCTGCCGTTCCCCCTGCTTGTGCTCTGTCAAATAAATAATCTTTAAAAAAAAAGTTGGATTAAGTCTGTAATCCTATCTGAACCATATATATATTACTTTGTCATGACAGATTATAACCAATAAAAGGGAAAAGAGAAGTATTGGCCAAGAGCATATACTCTGGAAACAATGTTTGGGTTCTCATCCCAACTCAGCCACTTGCCAACTGCGGGACTGTTGGGAAATCACTTAAAAGATGCCTATTTCCATACCTGAATAAAAGCATTTGCTTGCACACACTTTGCATTTTCCACTGTAACCTTGATTCCATTTTTAGTAGCGAAACACGTAGCGTGTTCTCGGAAATGAATAGCCTTCAAGATAGTGGAGAGATTCCTAACGTTGTCAAGGCTGGCCACTAAGCTGTAGTCATTCTCGTCTTGGATCTGTGGGGTTAGCAGGGGCATCGTCCACTGCACATTTGGTCCCAAGGGATGCTCCCGGTGCCAACACTGGCTGCCGAGGATCACGAAACACCTGATGAGATTCGACAATAAAACTCCGGATCAATGCTGGCAAGGCCCGCGATGTCAACCTGCGCTGAGGCGAGTGAAAGACGCCTGGGCATCGAACTCCACCGGACAGGGGTTGCACCCCATTTCTGCCACTTCAGCTCTATGTAACTTTGGGGGGAAATTACTCTTCACTCTAAGCTACGATTTCCTCGTCTTTAGTAAGAGGCTAGTAACACAGGAAAAGTTGTGAACAATGAAAACAGGCAACTAACACGGTAGTTCCACGGAGGGCCAGCACCCCCAAACTGGGACTACTTGTCCCCGCAGAGTCGGGTTTGCGCTGTCCGGCGCCCCCAACCTTAACCCTAACAGACTAGGCGATGGAGGGCGGGCCCCCATTCCTCGGAAGATCCTCGAGTCCCACACAACCCCATTCACCAACCGTCGAGAGGCGGCATCTATTTACTGGCCCTAGGATCCGGGGCGCGGAAACCTTACCTTTCCCGCGGGATCCGACGCCAGAGAGCCCTTCGCAGCCAGGTCACCGAAGAAGCCGGGCCGCGCCTCCCGGGTAACTGGGGAGGAAATGCAGCCGCTCCCGCCACTCTTTTCAGACCAGACAAGCCACCTCGGCCACCGTCACCGCGGAGATAGAGGGCCGCGCGTGAGTCACCAGAAACCGGAAAAAGGTACCATCGAGCCGGGGGACTGCAGAGCCGAGTGCTCGGTACCATAGAGCTCGGAAAGGAGAGCGAGCGGCAGAGCCGGAAGGAAAGCCGAGAGCGAAGGCGGTCAGCCAAGATGGCGGCGACCAAGAGGAAGCGGCGTGGAGGCTTGGCGGTTCAGGCGAAAAAAACAAAAAGGAACGAGAAAGATGCCAAGCAGCCAGCTAAGCTGCGCGACATGGCAGAAGAGGCGGAGGAAGAAGAGAGAGACCGTATCCCAGGCCCCGTTTGCAAGGTAGAGAGGGCTTTCATCCAGGTTACACCTGCGGCTCTACACGCCTTCCCTGGGGCCACCTCCCTGATGAAAGCTTTGCTAATTTCGAAGTTGCCTGTCTGTTACCGGAGCTCGGTCTCAGCTGTCCTCCCGGTCAGACGCCGCGCTTACAGCTAGCTCTCATGCACGTGGCCGTCTCCTGGAGGCGGCGGCCGAGGAAGCGGGCGGGCTTCGGAACGGTTCACAGGGAAGCAACCTTTGGGGTACTCAGTCCCAGTGTTGTGTCTTCTAATTACTCCATTTCCCGCCCTTGGGGGTGTTATTACTTTTTCTTAAAGTTATTTCTCGCTATTGAGTGTATATCTTCCAGAGGTTACTAGTCCCCCTATTCCGCTATAGCTACTCTCAGTCAGGGATCCTGAAGCTTGTTAAGCAGTTCTTTAAAAAAGTTGCTGCCCTTGGTATAATGACTTTGACCTGTCTGATCAGGTTTTTAACTCTTAAGGGATGATGAAAGCTAGACTAGATAGAATGAACTCTTCTTGTATTCAGACTTGTTATATATAGGTCAGGTACTGTAGGAAGTTAGGTTTCCTCTGGCTTTGGGATTGCTAAACTAGAATGTGACTTTCTTTCTGAAGTGTTGGGAGTTTAGGAGGAAACTTAACTCATGTAAGTTCATGGTTTGTATTCAAGAGGAGGTGAACACAAGTTGTTGGGCTTAACTTCATTCCGTAAGCTAGGTCGAATACTTTGGAGACAAAGATGGTCTTTGATTTATTTCTATTTTGATTCTATTTCTACTTTCCTGGCCCTTAGCATAGTACTTTAGCAGGTAGTAGGTGATAAATGACCATCTATGGTGGCAAGCACTAGGAAAGGAGTTAGTCTGAGGGATGAAAGATGAGTTTAAATTCTAGCCAATAATTAATGTCCACATTTTGAGCTCTTTTGTCATCTGCAAATTAAGAAGAAGAAAATGTGGTTTACTTTTTATGAAGAATAAGCTGGACTTCTAGAGGATTTTCAATAAATGTTAGTGCTCCCACTCTTCCCTTAACCTGGAAGGAAATATGATAGTATCTATGACCTGAGTCGTATTATGAGAAATTCTATGGAAGTACAGAAGTCGTAGAGGTTACTTTTACCCTAGGACAGTCAGGTAAGGGATCAGCCCTTGAGCTGGATCTCAAAGTAAGGGCACAGTTTCAGTATTCCAAAATGCAAGGGAACAATACAAGGGCAAAGAAGAAAAAATGATCAGAGGCATTGATGTGGAGGAGAAATGAAAATGGAGCCAGATTAGCTAAAAGGTAGGGTTGATTTAGGGCAATAGTGAGGCAAAAATAGAAATGTATTTTAGAATCCAGCGTTAAAGCTATGTTTTATTGGGAGTTTGTTTAGAAAATCCTGGGAGGTTAAGGATGTGATTGAAACAGTGCTTTAAAAAGACTAAGCTGGTGCTAGTCGGCCAAACCTATTGGAGAAACCCCTGTCTGGGAAGGCTAGCCATTTAGGAGATTTGAGATGATAAGGATCTGAATGTGGGTACTTGGAATGGGAAGGGATTAAGAGACAGTAAGAGGTTTTTTTTTTTTACTGTACTGTATTTATTTATTTAATTATTATGTTAATCACCATACATTACATCATTAGTTTTTGATGTAGTGTTCCATGATTCATTGTTTGCGTATAACACCCAGTGCGCTCCATGCAGAACGTGCCCTCTTTAATGCCCATCACCAGGCTAACCCATCCTCCCACGCCCCTCCCCTCTAGAACCCTCAGTTTGTTTTTCAGAGTCCATTGTCTCTCATGGTTCATCTCCCCCTCCAATTTCCCCGCCTTCATTCTTCCCCTCTTGCTATCTTCTTGTTTTGAAAGGGAAATTGACAGCATTTAGTAGTGCTTATGATATAGGAGAATAGGGCAAATAGATGATTCAAAGCCTGGGGGATGGAAATGATGGTGGCATCATTTAACAGGAAACTTTAAGGTTTAGTTTTCTAGAGTTGAATTTGAGGTATTAAGTCAAATACTTGGTTTATTAGGAGTGGAGAGAGTTCCTTCCTTTCTATAGATTTGACAACTGAAGCTATGGAATGATTATGAGAACTCTGTCCTGGAGAGAACAGAAACCAAAAGAGGGCTAGGAAAGACACTTTGGAGTCAGGAGGAGGAATTGGAGAGATGGAAGAAGAAAAACCAAAAATGAAGAAAGCCAAGGAAAGCATTTCTGGGAGGCAGCCATGGTCAGTGAATACTACTGAGAGATTGTCAGGATTGTTTGGCCTGCTACCTGGAAGCTTTTTATGAATATTATTGTGTCTCTACTTACCTTACATACAAGAAGTTAACTTTTCCATTGGCTGTGTTATTTTATTAGAACGAAGGGCTATCTTAGCTTGCTTTTTTGGATAGGGGATCTAAATTTTGTCTATTAAGATAAAATGGGGACTTTTTAAGTTCCCTTTTTTGCATCATCACATGATGCCATGATGCTTTGCCATTTCTATCCTATATGACAGATATGGTTATGGTTATCTGTCATACAGAATAGAAATGGCAAAGCATCTAAATAAGGGTTTCATGCTGTTCTTGCCTTCATGTCTTTATTGATTCGCTTGCTTGTTGACTATCTTCCCACATAAGAACAGTGCCTGACTCCTGGTAGGAACCTAGTAAATGTTAAATTAATATTAAAGTGTTCTTGTGAAAGGAATATTGACTGAGGAGTTAGTTCTGAATTCAAGGGTGGAAAGATTCTATGTATAGTGAAACATCTCAATTCCCTGAATTACATACATGGGAGAGCGGCAGAATTAAAGATGTAGTTTCGATACATTAGAGGTTGGTGGAGTAGTTAAAAAAGAGATACTTTTAAAACTATCTTTAAAAAAACAAGGTAGGTTCAGTATGAGATTTAAAAATCTTTAACATTTTCTTTTTCTTTAGGGCAAGTGGAAAAATAAGGAACGGATTCTCATCTTTTCTTCCAGAGGAATAAATTTCAGAACAAGACATTTAATGCAAGACTTGAGAATGTTGATGCCTCATTCTAAAGCAGGTGCCTTTATATCATATACTTTAAAAGTTCTTATTTATAAACTTATCTGTATATTCTCACTTTAAGTCGTTTAACCTTGTCATTTGTTCAGCCTTATCAGGTAAAGAACTCTTTTGCCTCAGAACAGTGACAAGATTTTTCCAATTAATATTTTGTTAGAAATTCTTTACAAAATTCATTAAATATTCCCTTCACTTTCTTAGATATCCTATTACCAAAACATTTCTTGAAGGTCCAGGAATGCCTTCATTGTAATGCTCTCAGAGGTGACGAGCTGGTTTGGCCTTCTAAATAATTGAGGACTGCCATGTATTGCTATCTGCATTTTTTTTTTTTTTTTAAGTTGGCTCCACACCCAGCGTGGAGTCCAACGTAGGGCTTGAACTCACAGCCCCAAGATCAAAACCTGAGCTGAGACCGAGAGTCAGACGCTTAACCACTGAGCTACCTAGGTGCCCTACTATCTTTGTTTTTTTTTTGCAAACAAAAAAAACCTGTTCTTATTAGAAAGTTAATGGACCAGAGTGGGATTTGAAGCACCTTTAATTTGGGGCTCAGCCTACTTCTAAATGCCAAGATACTCTTTTTAGCAATGGTGTATCTTGCAGGCAAGTGAAGTTTTAAGTTTAGAACTGTGGCAGTACCATCATACAGCTGTTTTTGTGCCTGTGTTGGAAGATGCTTTTGGCTTTAATTCTAGGTAATAACTTTGTTCCTTAGACCACTGTTTCTCAAACTGGGGTCCGCTGTTAGTATCTTTATATCTCTGAAACTAATAAGAGACCTAATTTTTTTTTCTGTGATAATCTGAAACAATTTTTTTCAATCCGTTTCCTTGACAACTATGATTCAGAATTCAAAGAAACTTTCTTTGGTTCAAATTTTAGTTTCTTCGGCGAGTGTTCCTTAAACTGCAATCCTAGAACATAGTTCAGTTTGTGAGACTGTTTCCATGTTTGAAAGGGACTTGTGGAATATGTAAAGTTGACTAGAAACACTGCTTAGATCATAATTTATGATTCTCGAGGACTGTTTTCTAATCAGTCATTTTTAGAAAAAATGAACAAGATTTTTAAAGAGGTCATGTGTTTTTAGGTCTAATTTGAAAATAAAATCTCTTTTAAACTGAAGATTGTAAAAACACTTAAAATACTTTTTTAGAAAGCATGTGTGATTTGTTTGAAGTAGCTTTGAAATCTTTTATTTACTTTTTTTTCTTTTTATAGATACAAAAATGGATCGTAAAGACAAGTTATTTGTCATTAATGAGGTAATTTTAGATAGTAATTCAAGTAAAATAAAATATTTTGGAACACTAAAGATAGTTCATTTAAACAATAAGTCAGTTATTCAGTGACTTTTAAATTGTAAAAGGTAACTCAAATTTTCTTAACTTCAATAACCTGCCTTATAAATTTTTATGTACTGTCTATTCTCACAGTTCCGTGATTCAGTATATATTACTTTTTGATCATTCTTATATTTGTCTTATCTTACCGAACATATTGAAATTTCTGGAAGACAAGGATTATCTCTCTTCTTTTCTCATTATGTACAATACAGTGCTAAATTTATAATGGGTACTTATTAAAAAACTATCAACATGTACAAAATAAATAAAAAGTCCATTAAATATTTTTAAAACCACACATCTTAGAAAGTATTTTGCCAGTATTAAAGGTGATACACGTGGTAATTGCTCTTAAGATACTACAAATTAGTAGTAGGTTAATTTTCAAAGTATCGTTGAAGATACTGAACTTATATTTTAAAGCCAACTTTTAAAAAAATTTAGAGGAATCGTGTTTTAAGTTCATTTTCTTTCGCCATTAGAAAGGCTTCTTTTATTCATTTAGCATGGATTTTTGAACCTGTGTTATAAATGGCCTTATTCTAGTGCTGTGGAAACTGTTTAACAGAACAGCTGCCCTGTCATCCAGTGGGGCTTACATTTTGATGGGGGATTCAGTCCACGAACAAGTAGAATTTCAAGTGAAGATAGGTGAAAAAAAAACCAGTTAGGAGTTTCCAGCAGTTGAGGCTTGACTAGAAAACAACCATCTTAGTGTTGTTAAGTATTGCTTTTTGTTCTAAGACCAATAGGAAACAAAAGCATTGGACCTGAGTTTTTTTAAGTTGTTAGGTTTAAAGTCTCAAGTAGTTGAGAGTTGATGAGTACTATATTAGATAGTTTATGAATATTATAGTAATATAAACCTTCAAGATGTTGAAGTTTACTTCAACTTGAAGTAGTTTTCTATACTTCTGCCTTTCACCAGTCCCTTAGTGATTTCACAAAATGGAAATCACAGAAATAATAGTACAGATGAAGAAAAATCTTAAATTTCCTGAGCTTAAAATCAAAACGCTAAAGAGTTAAAAATAAAAATAACCATTATAATGGATGTAGTTGGTTCTTGAAGGACTGTCTTTTCCTAAGATTGATGAGGCTAATTGTAGTGTGCTTTATCCCTCGGGTATCTTTTACTTTTTGTAGGGTGAACGTGGGAGTATGTTAGGAAGATAGAGGTTCCCAGTAAGCAGAAGAGAGGCCAGAGTATCTTGTTTACCTTAGAATACCTAAGGGGAAGTTTAAATGTTTCTTTTTGTGAATTTACCTAGATTTAGACCTTGGTAGCCTATTAACCTGCTTAACTATTTTTGGAGGAATCTAGATATTGCTTGCTTTGGTTCTCATTTTTATTATCTACTTCATTTTTCTATACTTTGCTCTGTTTAGGTTTGTGAAATGAAAAACTGCAATAAATGTATCTATTTTGAAGCTAAGAAGAAACAGGATCTCTATATGTGGTAAGAATGTATTAAGTAGGATTTAGGTGGAACTGTTCTTGTAAATGGACTTATTATTTATATCTCCTAGGTTATAGACTTCTTTCAGTCTTTTATGTAAAAAGACGGGGCCAGGGAATGAAGCAAATTCATTTGATTTCACAAAAGTTGAAACCGTTAAAGAAAATTAAATATGTGGATGTTACAAACACGGTATGGTGTCTTTTAAACTGTGAGGTAGTACGAATTTACTACATTCTAAATTCTAATTAGTTGGAAAATTCATATTTTTCAGGCTTTCAAATTCACCTCATGGGCCATCTGCTAAATTCCTCGTTCAGAACAGTAAGTTGACTCAGTTTAAGATTTTTTTAAGACAAAATTAAAATAGTTGTGCCAAAGTTATGACTACTTTTGTTATATTTTTTCTAGTCCATACCCTAGCTGAACTAAAGATGACTGGAAACTGTTTGAAAGGTTCTCGGCCCCTTTTGTCTTTTGACCCTGTAAGTTTCTCATTTAGTGTATAAGGTCTAATTTTCTTACTCTGCATGGTTGTGTTTTAGTGGATGTAGTTGTGTAATTCAATTTAGTTAAAATTTCAAAAAACCCACAATTTTAAACAAAACACTGCTGTTGTAAATGTTATGTTCACTTTATTTTTATAGGCTTTTGATGAATTACCACATTATGCTTTGTTAAAAGAACTCTTAATTCAGGTAAATATCTTTTCTAGAAAGTAATTTTAGTAATATAAATGAGTGTCTCTTTTAGACTTTTGTTAATTTAGCTATCTAAAACATACATGATATGTGCTAGAATAAGAAATTAACATTTTTTTTTTTTTTTAAATAGATCTTTAGTACACCACGGTATCATCCCAAAAGCCAACCATTTGTGGACCATGTGTTTACTTTCACCATTTTGGATAATAGGATATGGTTTCGGAACTTTCAGGTTAGCTTTAATTAATTTTTAATTACACTTTGAAATGAAGTAGGTTATATAGCATAATAACATTTGTAGAAGATGCAAGTAATAAGTCCTTTTGTTTTAAATAGCTTTTTGCCCCCACAGACTTGTAGCAGTTAACTACTGTCTCATACTTTACCTACTTCTCTACTTACTTTTTTCCACGGCTATCAGTTGGTGTGGTGTAAGGGTTTGCTAACATGCAACTATATATTCAGTAAGATACAAGTTTCTCTCTAAAGAGGTTGGAATCTGGGGGTGGAGGTTGTTAAGACTCAGAAAAACATGATCCCTGTAGAATGCATTCAGTGAGAACTGTGAGATGAGTCATACAGCGACTCATTTAGGAGGAGAGGTGATTCTGGAAATCTTGAAGCAGGAGTTTGGCAGGATAAGAAGTCAGAAAGGTAGAGAGATGGAAAGAACAGCATTTGAAGTAATCTGGGCTCTTTCCTGCATGGGTTGTTGGATACCTTGCAGTGTGAGTTAAACATAGCCCCTTAGCCTCTGAGGGCAGACATACCTGAACCAACAGTGTTGTGTTAGTATTTGTAGTTCAGAAGTTGCCTCTTAATTCCACAATCAGGAGCCATTCAAAAATAAATTTGGCCATGTATCCTTTTATATACCTTTTAATCTAATTTGAATTAGATGTCCAAATACAATTTAGGGGTTGACTTAAATTTTAAAAGTGTTCTCCACAGGGTGCTTTAATACATTCTGTTACAGTGGTAGCAGTTTTTAAAATTCATTTAACCACAGTTTTTCAAGAATATGTGCACAGTGAGAAGCAAGATAAGGACCAAATTGAAATTACTCAATTTTGAAAGAATACCCTGAAAAAAAGTTAATATTTTCCCATGACAATTACCCATAACTAGCAATATATTTCAGAAAATACATTCCACCTTAATTTAATTGGTTCTCACTTCTTTTAGGCATATTTGTAATGAGGTTATAGCCAGTGTAACTTTGAGGAATAGTATATCCAAACCAAAATGAAATGTTTCCTTTTATTGAAGATCATAGAAGAAGATGCTGCTCTTGTAGAAGTAGGACCTCGCTTTGTCTTAAATCTCATAAAGATTTTCCAGGGAAGTTTTGGAGGACCAACTTTATATGAAAATCCTCACTACCAGTCTCCAAACATGGTAAGCTATTTTTGTTGTTCAGTGGTCCCTGGATGCCCAGAACTCTCTGGCCAAAATGATTCTGTCAAGCAGTTTCTGTTAACTATGAAACTAAATTTGTTTTTTTGCTGCATACAGTCTTGCAAATAACTACTTTTTTTTAATGACAAAAGGGAAGGGAAAATAGGACTCATAAGTGAATGTCCTCACCATATGTAGTATGTTTTTATTTTGAAAGCATCTGATATTTTTTTGTTTTTAGCATCGGCGTATCATAAGATCCATCACAGCTGCAAAATACAAAGAGAAACAACAAGTGAAGGATGCACAGAAAATGAAAAAGAAAGAACCAAAGACTATTCTTCCACATGATCCCACTGCAGATGTTTTTGTTATACCAGCTGAGGAAAAGCCGATAGAAATACAGTGGGTAAAACCAGAGCCGAAAGTTGATTTGAAAGCAAGAAAGAAAAGGATTTACAAAAGGCAAAGAAAAATGAAACAGAAGATGCACAGTGGGAATGCAAAATGAATCAATGGATAACTAACTTTTCAGGAATTTTATATTTATTTTGTATTCAGTGTGTAAATACTCTTTATTATCCAGGACTATGTTATATCTCATTAGTGTGGCATTTAAGACAAAAATCAAATTAAAATTTGTGGCTACTGTGGTGTGTATGTTTGTCTAAATATCACCGTCAGAGATATTTAGAACTAATCAGTTAATTTCTGTTTTTTTTTTTTTTCAAAGCTTGTTTGGTGTTACTAAAAGTTTAGCATACTTCAGGTTTAGGCCTGTTTTCTTGGATTAAAATTTTGGGTTTAGGAAAGCTGAAATTCAAACACTTTTATTGGGTCATTATTACTTGTAAGACAATGAATTAGGCACTTTGAGAGCTTAGTTTCAGATGGTAAAGTGCAGATAGACTGGTAGAAAAAAAAAAGCATCTTACTGAGGTTGGAGTCCCCGAGTCACCAATGAATGAGGCCTTGGAAAAGCCAATCCTTGATCTTGTTTTCTCACCTCAAGAAAGTACAGTAGGGCGCCTGAGTAGCTCGGTGTGTCTGCCTTCGGCTCAGGTCATGATCCCAGGGTGCTGGGATCTAGTCCTGCATCATTGGGCTCCCTGCTCAGTGGGGAGTCTGCTTCTCTCTCTGCCCACCCCCCTTGTGGGCGTGTGCTCTCGCTCTCTTTTTTTAAAAAGAAGTAACAATAATAGGTTTTGAGAATCAAATGACTTAATACATGTGTTGAAAGTATTTGTAGATTACAAGTTTAATTTAGAAGCAGTGGGTATAAATTACTTGATAATTTAAAAGTAAAAGGAAGAAATATGGAATAGTAGTTGGAGGGCAGTGGAACATTTGAGTTTTTCCCCTCATGAAAGAACAGGTGAAGAGCATGGGGCTTACCCTCCTGGAGGTCAGTTAGTAGGAAGGAAATACAAGATTCTGGGTGCTAGTGGCCGTGGACTGGTAGGTGGCTGCTTAAGAGAGAGACTGATACATATGCACATATAACATAGGATTGGATCATGCATGTGGTGTTTTGTGACCCACTTATTTCATACTAATCACTTCCCCATGTCTTTATTATACAACATGACTAATAATTGCACAGTATTCCACTCTGTGCTATAGCTGTACAATCTGTCCCTTATTATGGGATAGTATTTCAGGTATGGGTGCTTATGGCAAACATTTCTTGACAAATTTATACCACCCTTGCGGTTTCCTTAAGTGGAATTCAGTCAAAAGATGTGAACATTAAGAAATTTTGATTGTTCCCCTAAATACTGTACTTCACCAGAGGTCAGTGTTCATGTATTTACTTGTACCCTTGACAACACTGAAATAATTTTTTGTCAATTTGGTAAGTTAAAAAAAGAATACCCCTTTTTGGGTAGGTAATGGTTTTTCCTTTGTGACTAATCTTGTTTTTGTGTGGTAGTCATCTTTTACAAATTTGTAAGAGGTCTTCTATGGCAGGGTCATTCTAGACATCTTTCCTAGTTCCTCAATTGTATTTTAATTTTGTTCTTTGTTTTGAATCTGTAGGCAGAACAATCATTTTTCCATATTTCATTTTTTAATTTTCTTCAAAGAAAGGCCTTGAATGTACAATTAAGCCACATGATTTTGAAATAGTCTAATCAGGCTACTTACCTTGAAATCTATATTAAGCAGGTAATTCAGTTAAGAGATTCACTTTTTTTTTATAAGATTTTATTTATTTATTTATTTGACGGAGAGCGAGAGAGGGAACACAAGGGGGAGTGGGAGAGGGAGAAGCGGGCTTCCCGCTGAGCAGGGAGCCCGATGTGGGGCTCCATCCCAGGACCCTGGGATCATGACCTGAGCTGAAGGCAGACGCTTAACGATTGAGCCACCCAGGCGCCCCCAGAGATTCACTTTAAATACTTGGGTGTGCGTAATGAAGGCCAATTCTGGTTAAGTGCAGGGGGAGAAAAAGCTTATTTATTAAGCAATTGAATATAGCCTGGGATGAAAAGCTATATTCAGGATTTGTATCTAAACACCCACATCCCAAGAAGTTAATTACAGGTTATAAAATAAACTGGCTCAACAAGTTGAGTGAAGACCCAAACTTTTAACATTTTCTGAGGTGTGTGTTGTAGAGTTTTAGTGGAATTTAAGTTTTGATTATCAGTTTCTACGTATTTTCCTGTCCCAAATTACTTCCCTTTCACGATCATTTATATGGGTACCTCATTTGAATGAAAATTCATCTTTCAAGTTCATGTTCATTTAGAAGTCAACTTGTTTAATAAAGATAATCCTTTGAAATTTATATCCAGTGTAATTGTCTTTATATTTCTGTACAATGTTACAGGCAGAAACAGTTCTCTCTTCTCTCAGGAGGAAAAAGGCAAGTGACTCACAGGTTGTAAGCAAAACCAGATGTAGTTGGAGGAAGAAAAAAGTTCTATTTTTTGTCACTTTTTACCCCTACCCCCAGTCCCATTCTCAAATGGGGAAGTTTCCATTTTCACCTGTATTCAAACATCTCAATCCCTCTCCATTGCCAATTTACAAACTGAGGTGGGATAGTATCTTCCTTCTTTGAAAAAGAGGCAGATGTATGAATTTCAAGTATGGGTTGGTTGAACAGTAGTGTGTGGAGAAACTTGATGAGGTTTAGGGTTGGTTTGTTTTGATTGTGCAGCGGGCAGGATCTTAGGGAAGCAAGGGACCACCTTGTACAACAAACATTAGCAACAGAGCCAACCCTTCTCTTTACACACGGTTGACAAAACCTACACCTGACAACTGACATATGTGAACATTTCACATTACGGTGAAATATACTGGTGTGTATATTAAACCAATATATTTTAATGACAATTAGGATACTATTTTGACACCTTATCAAATTGGAACAGTTGTAGGGATCTTCCATCCCGTAATAACAGTGTATCGGTTGGATCAACAAAAACTGGTTAAATACTATCCCTTAACTGCATTCTTAACAATCTAGGAAATGTAGGATTAGAAGCCAGAAAGTTAGGGTTAAACAGTGATGGATGGATGGGTCAGCACAACTTTATCCGTATCGGTGGTAAAACATTTGGTATGTTACTTTAAAATGTGTTGATGCTCTCTCAAATTGTTCCAGTTTAAGGCATCATATTTACTGTTACTTCATTGCAAAATGGTCAGGATGAACAGTATTAGAGATCTCGATAAGTGGCAGCTGAAGAGAATTGAAGAGTTAAATCCTATATTCGGTTCACCTGAATCCTGCCATCGATCAGTTGGGGAAGCCTGAGCAAACCACTCGACCACTTCAAGCCTGAGTTGCCATCTGGAAAAACGGGACTCCACTGAGAAATCGTCTTCAGAAAACAAGATGCTTTCCGGAATCTTCTCCCATCAGACTCCTATCAGCCCTCAGGTGGGCTGCCCAGTTGGCGCTCCTTACACAGACCGCCTACTGTGCCCCTCACAATGACGCCCACCGTGGCCCCGCCTCCCACCTGTCGGGGCCCCGCCTTCATCCCGCCGCGGCTCCGCCTCCCACCTGCCGTGGCCCTGCCTCCATCCCGCCACGGTCCCTCCTCCCGGCCGCCGAGGCCCCGCCTCTCTCGCGCGCAGCTTTTCCGGGAACCGAGCCCTCCCCCAGCCCATGCGAAGTCGCGGCCGCCGGCACCGCCCCCTCCGCGCGCCCGCGTGCCGCAGCCCGCGCCGCCTGTCGCCGCCGCGCGCCTCCGCCACTCCGCGCCGCTGCCGCCGCCGCCGTGCTCGCTGGCTGGCCCGGTGCGGGCGCCCGACTCCCCCTGCCGAAGAGGACCAGCAGCGCCACCGCCACCCCTCCGGTCCGGGCCCCGGCTCCGCCCCGGGCCCCGGCCCCAGCCTCCTGCCCGGCCGGGCGATGAAGTGTCACTATGAAGCGCTAGGGGTGCGGCGCGACGCCAGCGAGGAGGAGCTCAAGAAGGCCTATCGGAAGCTGGCCCTGAAATGGCACCCGGGTAACTACTCCGCAACCGTCGCAGCCCTTGCAAAAGCCGGACCCCCGCCACCCTTCGCCCCCCTCTTCCCGGAATAACTCCGGGACCCTGGCCAGTCTCGACCTGCCCGCCCTGTAACTCCCTTCTCCCTGGGAACCCCGCCCGGGTCCCCGACCAGGTGCCCTGCGCAGTGCTCTTCCCGCCGGGCGTCCTCCTCGCCCGTCGGCGGACGCATCCCTCACCCCCGGCTTCACTCGAGCCCGGGGCAGCCCGTCCCTCCCCAGACGTTTCCCCGCTCACCCGCCCCGACGCTACCCGCAGTGGCACTTGATGGGGAGGACACATTCTAGCGACTTCACCCGCTCCTCCCACCTCTTCGCAGACACCACCGAAGGAGCAGGAGTCCTGAGCTCTCGAGTTTGGCCCTTGCTTGAGTCTCTGCCGCTCAACAGCCCTTAACTTCATCACGGAATCCCAGCTACCCAAGTGTAATTTATGGCCCCTTATTGAAATTAAGACAAAGAAGCTAGTAAACTGTCTTTTAAATAGCTGTGCTTCCCACCCCCTTCCCTTTCCCAGTAAGCTGTTGAAATACAGACCCTGTGCTCCACTTCGGATGTTTTGCAGATTGAGAGTTTTAATTGGGTGTCTTCCCCTAGGGAAGTTTGTATGTGTACTTAGAAGTATGCTTCCTTTGGATGTTTTATTTGGTGGCAGTTCAGGCCTGTGTGACTTCTGTGAAGTAATCTGATCTTTCAGACTGGGAAACTAAGGCTGTAGTTGAATATCAGCTCTTTGAGGCTTATAAGAGGTTTACATATTAGCATGTTTATAGAATCTCTGGTATGTACAAGTCACCATAGTAAGGTTCTGAAGTGCTAAGACATCTCTGGGAAAACATGCTGTAAACCACGAAAAGTTAAATACAAGTGCAAACAAAATAGCACAACCTACATAATTGGTAGTTGGGTTAATAAAACAACTAATAAATGCCCCAGGAATTCAGGGGAGGGAGTTTTCACTATGTCGTGAGAGGCAGTGAGGCTTCCCCTTGGCAGAGGAGCCTAGATTTTTAGCTGGATCCTAGCGAAATGGAATTGGGAAAAGCTAGCTTAAGAGTAGAGGGAAGAGCATCGTGGTGGACAAAAGGTGGTCCAGGGGACAGTTTGACCGAAGGCAGTATTAATTGGAAATCTGAAAATATGGGTTGAGAGAAGAGCTGAAGGAAGGACCTGGGACCCAAAGTCAAAAGGTAATGTCTATAGTTGGTGGAACAAGAAATAAAGGTATGGGTTTGTTAAAGTGACGATTACCAACAGAGGAACTAAACAAATGTGATATATATCAGAAAGGAAGACGTAAGTAAGCTAAACATTCATCACAGCAGGAAGGTAGTAGCTATATCCAAAATTAATAAACCCAAAAATAGTATAGAAACATCTTAAAGGAATGGGGGTTGTCATCAGAGACTGAGTTAGGAATTAGAAGGAAGTTAGGAATTCCTTGACTCTTCTGGCTGGGAAAGTGTTAGGAAGGGGATTAATGCTTGTGACCAAATGCATATATAATTTTGATGATAATATGAAGATG